CAGGCGCCCTCTGCCGCCGTGCATACTGCTCCCCCGCGGTGAGCTTGGGCACGCATTCTGGCGTCCATCCCCAGGCTGCTACCCCCTGAGCACCTGGCTCTGGAGGCCAGTGCAGCGTGTGCTCCTGGGTCCCAGGGGACGGCAGCGGGTGCCACCACCAGGGCACCGCACAGGCTGCACACTGACACGCACACCCAGTCTCTGTGAAACAGCCCCGTTTGCCTAGCCTGGAGCTTCCTTCCCCAGGGCCAGGCGTCCGGCGGGGCACACTCACAGGACGGCCGGGGTGCTCTCTGGGGACGCCGGCTGCCGGGTGCCATCTTCACACTCTGCCTCTGCCTCACCGCAGGCTGCCATCGCCAGCCTCTCCTGCGGGAGCCCGTGCACTTGGGTGGCACGATGATTTTGCAGCTGCTGCCCAGGAGACACTCCTGAAGTGCCTGGCTCTGGTGCCCAGCGGGGCTCGTCCTTCTGCGACTCACAGGGCTGTTACAAGGGACAGCTTTCAGCCAGCGACCCTCCCCCAGGGCACAGCAGAGACAGCACACTGAAGCCCACATCAGCCTTTCTGTTTAGAAAGACACCTGTCTTTACAGCGTATCTGGTGGTCAGCGGGCGTTCGATGCTCAGGTTCAAAGGGCTGGTAGCAAGCACAAAAGCTATCTTAAATGGCCGACACCCCAAGACTCAGTGCAGAGGGAACCAACAGAAAAGCCTGCCTCCTCGTCTCCCCTGGGGGTCTGGCTCCCCAGGAGCTGACCGAAACCCTCCCTGCACACCCACAGGCGCTGGAGCCACTACGAGTGAAGCGGGCTGCGACAGCCAAGAGCTGGGCGCAGCTGGACGATGAGCTGGAGACCTGGCTCTTTACTCTAAGGCGTGGAAACCGACACTGAGAGCTAAGGCAAAGGAAGAAACAGAACATGTCCCCGGCCAAAGAACAAGGAAAAGCGTCCGACATAGACCTTCGTGAAATGGAGATAAATCACGCACCTCATTTAAAAAAAAAAAAAAAGTCAGAAAGACGTTCACCAAACTTAGGAGGGATAAACAAAGTGAGAATTTCAAAGAGATGGAAAATAGAAGAAAGTACCGGAAATCACAGAGCTGGAGGATACGATGACTGAAATGAATGAAAAATGCAGTCGCGGGGCCCAACAGCAGACGGAACGGAGCAGAAAAAGGGGCCAGGGCACCCGAAGACGGGACCGCGGCACCCAGAGCAGCAGAGAGAAGAGAGTGAAAAGGAGTGACAGCTTAAGGGACGGATGGGACGTCGCGTCGACCAGCAGCCACGTGACAGGGGTGGGTCCCAGGAAGAAAGAGCGAAAGGGCCAGAAAACTTATTTCCAGAAATAATGGCTGAAAAGGTCCGTAACCTGGGAAAAGAGACAGCCAGGTCCGGCATCCCAGAGAGCCCCGAGCAAGACGACCCCGAAGAGGCCTACACCAGGACACATTACGATGGAAGTGCCAAACGTTTAAAAAAAACGAAAAAATGAAAAAACAAAAAAAAGTATCCAAAACCAGTTCCCTTTTTATGGACAAGGAAACTCCCATTTGCCTAGCAGCAGATTTTCAGCAGAAAGTTTGCAGGCCAGAAGGGAGTGGCATGATATATTCAAAGTTTGGGGGGGATGGGGGAACCCAAAACTGCTAATCAATGACGACCCAGCAAACTGTCCTTCAGAAATGGAGAAGGAATTTTCCAGACAAGCAAAGCCTGAGCAGTTCATCACTGCCGAACGACGTACAGGGGATGTCAAAGGGACTTCGTTAGCCTGAAGAGCTAATCAATAACAAGAACACGCACGGAAGTGTACGTCCCGCTGGGAAGGTAAAGGTGTGGTCGAGGTAGCGGATTAGCAAAACCCAGCAATCCCTCTCCTGGGCGTGCATCAGACTGAGATGCCAACTGGCACCAATGTCAACTGACTAGCTGGAAAACAGATACGATGGTTAAATATTAGATACATTTTGTAAATACACAAATACACACCCGTGCACACCGGAGGGCGAAGGAAATGTTTATTTCACTTTTCCGGTTTAATTCAGTGGCAAATTAGATTAGTAACGCTTCCAGGAATTCATCATTTCAAGGCTGAGGTTCCGATTAAGGCTATAGGGTTACCAATTTAATATAAATGAAGTTAATTAAAAAGGCTAAACTACCAATTTAATATAAATGAAGTTAATTAAAAAGGCTAAACGCAGTCTGACCTCTTAATGGGGACGAAGACGAAGCGGCCAGTGAGCTGCGTGCGAGGACTTTGGGGCCATGAGGGTGGGAGCGCGGGCCCAGCCGAGGGTCAGGACGCAGCACCGCTACCTCCTGCGATGTGCGTGTGCGTGTGTGTGCGTGCGTGTGTGTGTGTGTGCGTGCGCACGTGTGTATGTGTGTGAGTGTGTGTGCGTGTGCGTGTGCGTGTGTCGGGCATTAGCGTGCTAATACAAAGCAGGCGACGTGACAGGCGGCGGCGTTCACAGAGCAGGCGTGGCGGTGGCGGTGGTGGCCGGGCGGGCGGCCCTCAGGGGGTCACCTCAGTCGTCCTCGCCTCCGCAGAGCAGCAGCAGGGCTTTCTTATAGTCCCCGGACGTGTCACTCTGGAACCGGAAGGCCCTCCGTCACCTCCGTCCCGCACGGGAGCCACGGAGAGCTGAAGCTAAGACGTGCCTGGTGACCAGTTTTATTCCTGACTCTGCCCCCAAGCGGGTGGCCTCTGGGACTCAGCGACGGTCCCCGCGACGTGACTCGCGGTCTCAGTCCACCCGTCCGCCCCGGAAGGCGCCGGTCTAAGAGTGCAGTGTGCTCGCCCCGGTGGTGCGGGGCACACGAAGCTCACAACTGCACTCAAAGCCCACTCTCTGGACAGACGCGGAGTGTGTATCACGCTGGGGGGACAGGGGCAGGGGCGGGGCTGGAACGGCCCGGCTGTCATAGCTGTGCCTCGAGGACAGAAGGGCAGGGTGTGCTTTGCCTGTGCTTGGCCCACGCGCAGGCGCGTGTGACAGATTTTAAACAACGTGGCAAGTATGAGAACATGGGAGAACTCCAGGGCCCGACAGCCCAGACACACGGCACACGGCACACGGGAGCGGGCAGCCGGCTCGGCCGAGGTGCGGCTCTGCCCACGGCCCACACTCCCCTTCATCAAAAAGGAGAGGGTGAGGTGGAGACAGGATCAGGGAGAGAGGGGGAGACAGAGAACGCCCCCCCCCAGCCCGTGCACAGGACGGAGGGAGGGACGGAGGAAGAAAGGTCAAAAGGCCGTAAGCCGCGCTTAATCATGCGCTGCAGCAGCCCTTGTTTTTACAACGACAAAGAGAGCGATACCTCAGCTCCCGACTTACTCCTGATGTGGCCCGGTTGGTTCTTTCCTGAACTACGAGCCAGTACTGGAGATAAGGGGATAGGGGACAATCAAGAAAGGAGAGGCCGAGACCAAAGAAAGGGACTTAAAAAGACAGCCGGAACTGACCGAGGAGGGAACACGCACAGCGTAACCATGGCCACGGGGCGGGCGCGCTGGGCTCTCCGTGGCCACCACTGAATGATGCCTCAGAACTCGCCCAGAGCCTCAGCCTCACCAAGAGCCAGGTTCCCCCGGGAGCCGGCGTGGACCGCGGGACACAGCCCACCCAGCCCCCCGAGCCACAGCGCCAGGACTGCCTCGCCCGCTGGACACCGGCCGCCTGGGGCTTTGCAGACGGAACGGAAGGACGGGAAGGTGCCACTACCTTGATCATGGAGTACAGGGAGGTGGCGAAGTTCTTCCTGAACTCCTTCCTGACGTTCAGCAGATCGATCTCGCTCCTGGAAACCAGCACCCGGATGAGGGTGTGGTCGTCCGTTCCGGCCCCCTTCACGAAGGAAAAGGAGAGAGGCACGTTGTTTGAAAACGTCAGCCGAGCATCAAACGCGCCTGGGTGCAGGCGAATGGATAAAGTAAAAACGATTCGGTGAACTGAACTCCAAAGTCAGTCATCAAACACCATCCCGCGCGGAGAAGGGTGATCACTAGGGGGACGCGAATCGGGGCGCGGAGCCCAGGGGTACACTTGCCTTCATGGCGTAGTAGAGCGTTTCCGCAAGGTAGGCGGGTATGCTGCGGATGGACTTCACTGAGAAAACAAGAAACGCAACGTCAGACGCTGTTCTGCTGCGCAAAGGACCAAGTCACTAAAACTCGAAGGCCGCCTCGCGCTCTGGCTCTGCTCACGCACGGCGTAAAGTCGCAGGCGGAAGGAGAGCTCGTCTGCGGGCTGAGCGGCTCTCCCCACGAGCCCGCCCGTGGACGGGGGCTTGAGCCCCACCTCGGGCCTCAGTCCCACACAGAGGGATGTGGGGGGCGGGGGTGAGGCCTCTGGGGGGCCCCGTTCTGTGAGCATCTTCTTGCTACAGCAGATTGGGCAGCCTGCTTGTGACGCCACCATGTCACCCCCGATCAATGATGCAAACATGCTGGAAGGTTCCGCTCCAATAGATTCAAGCGAACGGCAGGAGACTCCTGCTCCACCTAGTCCCTGACGAGCCCCGGGCTGTCCTCCCGTCCTTGAGACCTGGGTGTTCCCTCCAAGCTGCTTTTTGCTGCACGTCCATGGCACACATGGAGCGGTAGGAGACGTCCCCATTTTGGTAGAAGCACCAGCTCGACTGCCGCCAGCCAGGAAAGGACGCCTTCCCTGTCCAGGGGCCACTCGGACCTCCGTCTGCTGAGCCTCAGAAACTGTCCTGTGAAAATCCCTTAATACACAAACCAGCAATCCTTCGATGGGGGCGGGGAGGGGAGTCATCATCTTTTCCAGTGCTTAAGAAAAACGGCCGTCAGTGACGGAAAATGTCATCATTTTTATGTGTGTTCTAACCACAGAGGGGCTGTCTAAACCTTTTCCATTAAAATTCATTAGCTGCGGACTCAAACGAGAGGCTGCTGTTCGTCTGGTCCGTGCATGTGTCCAGCTTACTCTCCAGGGGAGACGCTGCACGAAATCCTGAGCTCAACGCCAGATACGCAGAACAATAAGCAGACACACGTTCCCGCCAAACCCGTATGAAAACTAGGACCACTGGGCACTCGCTAGAGTCTCCCTGGCTTTGGAGAGTGGATGATACTGCAACAAACTGCCCAAACTCGGTTCTCTCGTCCTTGCAGATTATGCTGAATACTTACCTAAAATAAATGCCAAATTACTTAATCTGAAAACAGCCATCGTCACATCTTCTATTCTATCCAAGATACTTTTACTAGATCAGACGCCAGTTTCTCAGTCGGCCTCAAAGCTGTGAGGACGATTCAGAAGCCTATATTCCACAGGGGCCAGAAATGACATTTACAGACCCCTGGGATAATGCCCACATTTCAGGTACATAACGAACAGTAATATTTTTAACGCGGCTTCAAAATGATTTTTAAACCATTCTCTTGGTATTTACATCAGATCCGATGAACCAATCTTGTATTTCCAACATCAGACAGGCTTCGAACTAGAAATTTAGTTTACTTCACCCAAACACCATGATAAGCTCTCCTTTTCATGAATAGGTGGTTATTTTCAGTGACAGCTTCAACTGAATAATATACTTTATCTCTTAGCACCATAAGTGTTATACACTTGTTTGTCAAATTATGAACTTTTCTGTAAAATTTACATTGTAAAAAAAACCTACCAACAGCAAGGAGGAGTTGCTCCAAATGACCAGAAGTCTCTCGGTCAATGGTTTCCTCGATCTGAAATCCTGATATGGTCATGTATTTGTCGAACACTAGAAAACAGGAAAATCGCTTTTGAACCACGTCAGGATCGCTGTTTCCAGAAAGAAGATATTTCAACAGGTATTGTCCTACCGAACACAAATCTCCCCCTTGTTCCCTGCCGACAGAACCCTGATTTTGTTGAGAGCCTCAATGCATCAAGCCCTAAAAAAACAGGTTATAAATGTTCTTTGGAACATTTCCCAGCCCCTCCTACAACGAATTACCGAAAGGTAAATCTGTTGGAGGCGACTCTGAGAGACCTTTCTTTTTTCCTTATGAAAAGTGATAGACAGATATGATTGGTTTAGCCTTTTCCTTTCTTCTTGCTATGAAAACCAGTGGTGTGCTTGCAGCCATTCTGTGACCATGAGGCACCGAGTATAAGAACGAAATCCAAACACTAAGAACAGTGGAGCAGAGAAACGGAAGAGCTGAGGCCCTGCCAGATTAGCCGAGGCTCTCATCTACGGAAAACCCAATTTTTAGGGCCCCTATGAGGAGGATTTTCTGTCACTTGCCACCGAACTCATTCCTACCTGACACCACACGCACTGAGGACACCCAGAGCTAAGGCCTTCGGTACCACTCCCCAGGAGATGCCTGGAGTGAGCCACAACTCAGCGGTCTGTGCCTGACGGTGACGATCTACAGGCCCACCTCCCGCATCACCCTGACAGCAAAACTTGGTCTACGGGCGTCTCGTTTTCTAAAAGCGACAGCAGCAGCACAGAGAATTACGAGATTTCTCAAGGTCGCCCAAAGGAAGAAATGCAAACGCTGATCCGTTCAGTTACGCGCCTGTGACGGAGCAGGTGTCCTGGCTCCTATATGTTCAAAATTAAGCAAAATATCTGTAGCGTGCACATGGTTTTCACTCACCCCTTCTCAAATGAGACACACTTCGTGTGCCAAAGATGGTGATGAACTTTTCTTCGTCCGTCCCCCATTTAAGTTCTCCGGCCTGAAACAAAGCCTGTGAAGATTTCAACCTCAATTAATAACTGGTTCCTCCACCTCGTCTCCAGGTTCTTATCACATCTGCGTTTGACTCCCTGGATGTTAATTCACCTGATTCATCATCGTATACTTTTCGATTCTAATGTTTCCTGCTCTGAAACAACGAGCTGAGTTTGGAGCCGCTTTGGAGCTGGCACTGAACTGTGCCACGGGAGACGGACGGGTCAAAGCAGCGATGCACAGCAGCGGTGAGAGGCAAGAGGTTCCCCAAACGTCTGCCGTGACCCCAATCTTCCCAGAGCAAGGGCGTGGCCGGCAGGAAGTTGAGTCCCTCTCTGCCGGGGCGGCCACGTCCGGGCTGGGAAGGGGTCCAACCAGGAGCCAAGCCGTCCGCCTTTTCTGCTTCACATATGGTAGCTGTTCGCCAATGCCTGGTACAAGGGACTCCATGTGTCCTTGTTACAACTGAAACGTAACCAAAGCTAGCTACAAAGTCTTCACGTTTCTAAAAGATCAAATGACTTTTTACAAGGCTGTGGGTATAGCAGTGCCTGGCACTTAATGTTCACATGTTGAAGAGTTTGAGTTCTGTATTTACTCTTTTACAGGGAAAGAATATACGCTTTTCAGTGTTGATATAATTGCTGAAAAAAAATAAAATTATATACGAACATCATTAAATCTGAGTCCCTTATTTGTAGATGTGGATAATTTATCAATACGCTGAGAATCAGTCTTTAAAATGCCTATACTACCCTTTCAGGTGTTCATTTCAAGGTAAGTATGTTAAGCCAAGGCGAATACAATTTGCCGAGACTGCTCCTTGGTGCTGCCCCCACCCCGCAGGGGCAAAGTGAATACGGGCAGGAAGTGATCACAGGAGTTTGGATGTAGGAATTTTAATCACAATATGTTTAAGAATATGGATTATGGTGGTATAGATCTTTTATTATATGTCCAGAGAATTAAAAAAAAAAAAAACGAGTTACACCTCTATACTCAATTTTGAAATTATTTTAATGATAAAAATAAACACTATCATTCCTGGTCCCGTAAGCATACTCTTCAAAGCTGGAGAGAAAGTTCCAGTTAAAGAGAAGGAGAAGGAAGTAGCTCAAGTTGGGAACCACAGCCTGGGGTGACAGACCTCTCTTAAAACAACCTCCTGGATCTAATCACAAAAACAATTCAGGTTCGAGAAATCTTTATCGAGAAATCTCATAAAACAGAGAAAAACGTAAATATGATAAGAATTGCCACGAATGCAAACGTCCTGAAGATGCTGGTTCCTCCCCTCCCGTGTCTCCCACGCAGAGACGACGGCTCCTGTGCTAACTGGGGGTGGGGGGGACCCCGTGGGGTGCTGCGGGCGCTGCAGCTGCTCGCCCTTCTTACCGACTGCCCTAGATTTCAAGGAGTCTCCTCCAGGAGAAGAGTGGTGAAGCCTGCTGTCTGGGAACAGCTGGCTGAAACTATTTTAACTACAACCTCGTTTTCCCAGAATTATGTTTGGGGTTGACAGCATGCTGAAGCCACTTGGGTGAATCCCACGCAGTAACAACGGGGGTGGCCCCTTGCAGGGCGGAGATGTGTGTCTTATTTCATCCTGCTTTTCCACAGGGTCCTTCCTTCAAGTGAGGCACCCCGTGCCCCACACCCGTGGGCTGTCTGCGTGAGGGACGCCCCCCACCCTGCGAGGGGCTTCACGGTTCAGCCCAGCACCGTGTGACCGGGGAGCCAACAAGCCCGGGTCCCCGGCTCGTCCGTGAGTCCTAGGCGAGGTGCTGCAGGTCCCCCGGGCCCGTGTGCTCACCTGCACAGCAGGAGTCACCCGTCTGCGTGTCACTGACAGAGCCTCCGACTCACAGTGTCGGGTGACCGGCAGCAGCAGGCGCTCAGTGAACACCGCCTCCCCTCCCCCTGCACGGCCCCTGCTTCCCCGAGGTGGGGTTCAGCTTCCTCTCCCGAGACAGCATAAGACAAGGACATGGGGGGAAGATGGGTGGTAAAATCAGTTTAACACGTCAGAAACGTTAAAAAGTAAAGCAGGGCATCTGTGGGATGTGCGGGCCCCGGGCGAGTGACTCACCGCGGCTTATCAAACCCTGCAACGGGGTAAGCGGTCTTGGTGCCAGGTATCGGCAGAGAAAAAACTGGAAAGCTCATGAAAAGGGCCCTTTACTCGTCTGGCTGACTCTCAACTAAGAAATCTCAGCTTCCCGCTGGCGCTGAGGGCCCAGTGCCCTTGTCACAGGTGTAAGTGTGTGGGCGCCTTTTCCCGACCCTGACAGGGTGACCGCCCACGTGGCAGGCAGGGCCGTGCCTGCTCTGCAGAGAGAAGTGCCTGAAGCCCCACAGTTCTGCTCGGCAGCACTTGTCACCTTGTGCTGGTGAGACAGGACATCACTTGTAGAGTTCTTACTCTTTTAGCGGGAAATGAAATGGGACATCTCTTGCAGAGTTCTTAATCTTTTTTAGTAAACCTAGTTAAGTTTTTTTCCTTTCTTTGGGAAAAAGGCCCTCTCCCTCAAATCCTGATAACTGCCCCGAAACTGGCGACTCAGATCCTCTGGCTATTGATAAGGGTTCCCGGCTCATTGTTAGCAGAAATGGCGTTAGGCCAGACGGGGCCCTTAGAGTCTGAGGCGAGGGGACTTTAGGCCAAAGGTCTTTTCCTTTTTATTTACTCTTTAAGAAATATATTAACCAAGCCTGTTTCCCTTCACTCACTTACTAGGCAAATCATTAATAGAAATAGATATATGACTTAAATAATAAGTGTGTATCTTCTTTTCCTTGTCTAGGGGCTGACG